TCCTCCTCCTCCTCCTCCTCGTCCTTCTCCTCGTCCTCCTCCGTGCGTGCCGCCACCGCGCGTGTGTCATTTTGCGGAGCGCAGCTGGCGCCGCGTAGGTGGTAGAAGGAGCGGCGCGCGCGTCGCCATGCCGCCCGTCAACGTGGAGGGAGGTTCCGCCTCGAAGGTCGACGCTTCGGGATTCCCAGAGCTAGGAGAAGATGAAGAGGATACATCATATGCGTCAGGTTATCTTAACCATCTGACCAGCACGGCTACTGTCGCATCGCATGCAACGAGCGGCAAACCGCGCACCGACAGCCACTCTTGCCAAGAGTCGTCCTTGCGTGTGGCCGACCCCTTTACCCTTGGTCGAGGAGGAGATGGGTCGGCTCCCACATCCGGTCGTGGAGCGCACTTACACGGAATGTGCGGTCAGCCTTGCCGGCTCTATCGTCGGGAGTGGCACGCGTTTCACGCGCAACGTTGTGCACTGCACTCGATGTGCCGTTGAGGCGCGACGCCGTGGTAGGAGTAGTACCCTGTGCAGCCTCCCCGAGCGGTGCGGCCCCGTCTTCCTGGCAGAGCCTGCCCCTCCCCCTCTTCCTAAACGTTTTCCTCCGCCTCCTCCTCCTCCGCCTCCTCCTCCTCTTCCTCCTCCTCTGCCTCCTCCTCCTCCTCCTCCTCCTCCTCCTCCTCCTCCTCCTCCTCCTTATCCTCCTCCTCCTCCTCCTCCTCCTCCCGTCGCATGCCCGATGTATGCCTCCGCTACCCGCTGCCCGCGGCATCCAATCTGGACGGGGCTGCACAATCATCACGCGCCTACATAATAAGCTTGCGCAGCCAGAATTCACGGCTCCCGACGTGCGCGTGCAGCGCGTATTCGGCCGCGCACCGGAGGGGGCATGAGAGGGAGCAGGCCTTGTCGTTGACGCTTCCGGCCTCTGAGGCCCAATAGCTTGCCGAAGAAGAAAGACGGGCCTTCTCAGGAGGCAGCGGGGCTTCTCAGAAGACTTCGCCCCTTCTGAGGTTTTTTTTTGTGCCTTCGGAGAAGGCTTGGATCATTCTTCAGACGGCCCGAGGCCTTCCGAGCCTTCCGAAAAAGGCCCGCCCCCTCTGCAGTCCCCGCTGGGCTCGCCGCCGACGTCTTCCAATGTGTGACATGTGTCCAGCGCGCTGAGGTTTGATTTGTTCGTGTCAGGACGGTTCGACCTGTTTCGTTGGTCGAACGCATAGTTCCTGCACTCCCTGGCGTTTTTCGCGCGCACAATGCGTGCTCCCGCCGGCGCTGCTTACAGAGAGGTTCAGCCCGCAGGTTCGACGAAAAGGACCAAAGGAAATTTGACCGAAGGTCCCAGTGAGAGGATCCAAGTGCGTCCGCCGCCTGACCCATGTCGCCACACTCCTCACACGCTTCGTGGCCCCATAGGGAGTTCCACCGAAGACAACTCTCACAACTGCGTTCCTCATGCATATGACTGGGTCCCTCGCCAGGAGGATTTTAGGGTCTGGCGATGACCCCCCGCCCACCCTCCCCTCCCCCCCGGATAACCCGCCCTTTCAGGAGGGAAAAAAACACACAGACACAATTAACCGTCGATTCCTCAAAAAATATGGGAAAATATGGGAAGTGGGGTGGAAGACAAAGACCCAGAAAACATGGGAAAAGATGGGGAATCCTGTGATGTGTGTCTATTTATCTGTGTGCTCCAGGGGCCCCTTCAACCTTGTCAGTTGCGCAGGTTCGCAGGGCATGCGCAGTTCTGCTCTCGCGGGCCTGCGCGGGCGTCCCCCAAAGCGCAACGATGAGGTTATCATCGGCCGGCACCTCCCTCCGCTGCCCACCCACGGGATAACCCAGCTAACAGTCAACCCGCACAATATAAGGGTGGGCAACCTTCCCAAGGATACCCTTGCATCCTTGTCCCCTGGCATCGCTCGGACGTGTGTATTTTTTCTCGGCGAGGACCATCGAGGAGCATCCTTGTCCATTTGGCGAAAAAACTACGCACGAAACCGAAACAAAAACACAGGGAATGGACGTCCGAGCGATGCCAAGTGTCCATTCGGCCCATCCTTGGCCACTTTCTCTGGCCGCGCCCCGCCCAAAACGCATCGAAATGGCCCGCCAAGGCCCTGGCATCCTCATCGCGCATCCTTACTGTACGGGTGGACTGCATCGCCGAAAAATGATGAGACGAGCCCCTGGTTCCCCCCCTGACTCTGGATCCGCCGTGCTTTGGGCGAGCGCTGCTTCCGCCATTCCTCCTTGCCCTTCTGCGGTGGAGATTTTCGCCTTCCTGTTTCGCATCGTTTGGGGTGCATTCCCGACGCAAGTTTAACACGAAAAATCGACCAGAGTGTTGCAGATTTGGAGTTTGGGCTCCCCCTCCCAGCTGTTAGAGCCCTCGCCCGTGCCGCGACTCTGAGAGTCGTCGGCGTTCTTCTGCCTTCACCGCAGGGGGATCAGACGCGCGGGCTGCCCCAGCGCATCGGATGGACCAGCACCAGAAGGAGCCGCCTCACCGCTGCACAGCACACAGATCCTCGTGCCCCCGCGGCGGATCCAGGCCATTTGCGAGTAGTCTTTTTGCGAGCAGTGGAACGCGCTCGTCCAAGATCCTCGTGCCCCCCCTCGGCGCGAGGCCGATATCTCTGCGGCACCACTGCTGCAGGCCGAACGCCGCAAGGGCGAGGCCCTGTGCCAGACATCCGACGGCAGGATGCTTCCACTCTGCGCGGCCCCAGAGGTGCCGACCCTCTACCCCCCCTATTGGGGGTATTTGTTTTTGTTGTCCCAGGTCCATGCTTGATTTTCCACTTGGCATCGCTCGGATGTGCTTATTTTTTCTCGCCGAGAACCATCGAGGACCGTCCTGGGCCATCGAGCGAAAAAAAACACGCACGAGACCGAACAATGCACGGGAAAGGGGCGTCCGAGCGACGGCAAGTCCAGGGGCCCGATCCTGGGCCCCGGAGGCCCAGAGTCGAGGCAGGCCGCCAGCATCGGTGCAGACGGGTCGTCGGAGATGTGGGCCCCTGGCCCTTCCTGCCCACGCAGGATGCCGCGCCTGCTGACCTGCTGGCCCGCCGACGTACAGATCGATCTCCCACGGCCCCGCGGTGCCTCGTGGCTCTCGCTCGAGCTCCTCCTGCCCTCCTCCCCCTCCCCCTGGCTCGACAGCTGCCTCTCGGCTGCTCGCTCGCCCTCGATCCCCTTCGCCCTTCCCTCCTCTTGGCTCAACGTAGTTTTTGTCACTGGAGTTCCGCTGCGATGCTCGACCCTATCACACGATTCCCTCCTCCCCGTGTCACGGGCCACAGGGCACCAGTATTCAACACTCTACAGTGGGGGCGCGCATCAAGAAACCATGTGTTTTTCGTCAGGGTATCCTGGGTTTCTTCGCTCCTCGCGCTGCGCGGTGACTTCCCGCAGCCGTTGAAGGAGCTGCTGCGTCCAGGGTGCTCCAGGTCTCCCCTCAGATGCAACTCGCGCACGGGTTCTCAGGGTTGGGTTTCTTGCGAGGGTTTCTTGCGATCGCGCCCGCACTGGATGGGACTGTTCCCCGAGGAAACGCATGACGCAGGAGGAGGAGGAGGAGGAGGAGGAGGAGGAGGAGGGGGAGGGGGAGGAGGAGGAGGGAGGAGGGAGGAGAGGGAGGAGAGGAGAGAGGAGGAGGGGGAGGGGGAGGGCCCGCACCAGTCTATTCCCGTTGCTGCGGCACCGCTGGCACGACTCCTCCCCCCGAGCCCCGAGGTCCGCGCTTGCGCCCGCGCGCCGGCACCGCTGCCATCAGAGCGCCGCCGTCGGAGGGGGGGGCAGCGGAATCTCGCTGCTGCTGGAAGCCCCTCCTCGTCCTCCTCCTCCATCTCCTCCTCCTCCTCGTCCTCCTCCTCCATCTCCTCCTCCTCCTCCTCCTCCTCCTCCTCTCCTCCTCTCCTCCTCCTCCTCGTCCTCCTCATCCTCCCCCCCCTCCTCCTCCTCCTCCTCCTCCTCCTCCTCCTCCTGCTTGTGGCTCAAGTCGTGAAGATACATGATGACCCTCCTACGCACTACGTGGCAGAAGGTCCAGCTGGGCCGGGCGCAGCCGCGTCGACCGCATCTTCGCCGCCACACCATCCTGGCTAGCAGCCCAGCGGCACTGGAGCGCACACCTGCTCATCGACCCCAGCGACCTGTTCGACAATGGCATCTCCAACCACGCGCCCATCTGCACGGTGGTAATTAGCCATGCGCCAACCCATCAAGAAAGAGCAGCAGCGCATTCCTGATCACACCTTCAGGCACCCTACCTTCGCCAACTTCATGAAGAACCTGACTGGCGCGGTACCTGGATGGGTGTCTTTGCCGACCTACCAGGAGCATACCCGCTGCACAGAGCTTGCGCGTGAAGCTGCACGTGCCACCCGCGACCACCTGCTGGAGCAGCGCGCCCCCTCCACGCCGAACGGGCTCGTCGCATTCCGCTCCATGGCGAGAGCGGTCCGAAGGAAAGACACGAAACTCGCTGAGACGCTCCATAACAAGCTTTCTCCGAGCGTTCGCCGCACGCCTGCAATATTACAACAACCAAGGTGCTGAAGCTGTTCAGCGTCGAGCTGCGGCCGCTGAAGTGGAAAAGGCTGTTGGCCTGCACCAAGCTCGAAAAGCGAAAACACGGCGAGCTCAGCTGTGGGCCCCAACAAGCGCCGCATGATCTTCCAGTCCATCGTCCACGACGGGCACGGTCTCTGTGGGCAGTACATCCTCGAGCACATCCGCCAGTACTGGGGTGACGCGTTCGCAGACAAGCCCGCGTGCAGCGACTTGCCCCAGAGGTACATCGCAGCGCACGCCACGGACCTTGGCATCGCGGATTGCAACGCCCCCCCCCCAAGCACAACATTCAGATGGCCATCAAGTATGCGAATTGCTCCGCCCCTGGTCCAGACGGATTTCCCGATGCGGTTTGGAATGCATATTTCGGCATACATGTTCTGCAAGCTGCATGAGCTACTATGTGGATTTTCACCTCCTGCAGGCTTCAACGACTCCGTCCTGGCGCCAATCCCAAACGGCGAGGACCAAATGCTCCCACCACAGCTCGAAAACACGGACTTCAAGATCATCGCCGCCAACTGCGACCGCAAGATCCACGCCACCGTGTCCAACAACGCGCAAGCGTATCAACGTGGCTTCCTTCATGGACGCCAGGTTACAGCCAGCATCGCGCAGATGGACACTATGGCGAGAGCGATGAACTGGCTCGCCGCCACCAACCAGACCGAGCACGGAAACTCGATGATGGATTCCTACGACTTTGTCGCCGCTTTCCCGTCGCTGGACCAGACCTGGCTGTGGGATGCTGACGGTACTGCTAGTCTCGAGAGCGGCCTTGTGCATGCGCTGAAGGCACTCTAAGACGCGCTGCACACCTACGCCTCGGTCGAGGGCGACTTGCACTTCGCGTTCATGGTCCCCGCGGGCATCGCGCAAGGCTGCCCGCTCAGCGGCGCGATCTGGATCTGGTGCATCGCGCCCAACCCGATCCTGACCCGCTTCGAGAAGGCCTTCAGGCCGCACCCACACTCAAGCCTCAATGCATGTGCCGAGGACGTCGGGACGATCGAGGAGAGTGGCATGCTCCTGGGCCAAGTACGCGCTACGTTCCGTAGCGCAGAGGTGCTCGCTGGTCTTCGCTTCACCTCGAAGAAGTGCGCGGGTGCGCCGCTGCGTGGCCAGTTCAACAACTCCATGACTGAATAGTTCCAGGAGGTGCTCGGCACTGTCCAGAAGGAGTGGCGCACATTCACCACCGCCGACAGCGCCAAGTACCGAGGGGTGATGCTCGTCCCCGCGATCACGGACGAGCATTGGGCTCTTCCACTCGCGAAATTCATGCGTCGGGCCGTCGAGCTCGCCAGCGGTGGCGCCCCCGCATTGGTTCCAATGCACATGTTCAGGTCCTGCGTCGTCTCCGAGCTCAGCTGCGTCGCCCGTTTCACCGCCTTCTCCAAGGTCTTCAGAGACGCCCCGCGCTGACGCGCGGGCACTTCAGTGCGAGTTGATGACTCGGGCGGGCGGGTGCGGTGCGTGGTGCCGCGGCGACGCCGACAACGGCAAACGCGATGGTGATAGTAACGATGATGGTGACGACGATGACGATGACGATGACGGCGTCGATCTTGGCTGCGCCGATGACGGTGATGGTGTCCGCGCGTCGGCGATGAAGGCATTGGAAAGATTTCGACGCGCGCGCGCGGCCAGCTCGCGCGAGCGGCCCGCGTGGTCAGCATTTGACGGGGATCGCACCCCCTCCCTGTGAAGATGTCGCAGGCCATGCTATTCGGCGGGGAGCTTGCTGAGGGCAGCCAGAACTATCCCGGGGGACATCACAAAGCCGCATACCAGGCCAAAGACGCCAAAAACTTCATCGATCCTCTTCTCGTTTGTCCTTTTATTTTCTCTTTTTCGTGCTTGCGCCTGATCTATGGGCACGATCCGCTCGACTCCACCACATTGTGCACATTCCGCACAATGCATCGGCCCTTCAGGCCCAGAAGAGAAAGGCCCATAATTATTCGACACGGAGATCCCCGATGTGTGCGTCTCATTTCTTGGCACGACCCGCCGTGAGTGCGTGGTGAGTCTGAGTGTGGGTGGATCTGAGTGCGAATGGATGTGAGCGAAAGTGAGTCCGAGCGTCGTTGAGTCTGGGTATAGCGAGTCTGAGTATGAAGGAGTCTGAGTGTCAGTGGATCTGATCGCGTGTGGTCTTAGTGCGCGTAATATGAGTATGGGTGAGTATGAGAGTGGGTGGGTCTGACTTTGAGTAAGCAGTGTGGAGTGGTCTGTGTGCGTCAGTCTGAGAATGCCTAGTCTGAGTCTGCGTGGACCCGAGTGCGAGTACGGGGCAGCAGACGGGACACAAACAGGAGGAAGGATGGAGGTGTTGGGGCTCCAAACGAGCAAACCTGCCGAGACATCTCCACAATCTGCGCGCGGAACGGGCATGCTATATCGCGCTTGCCATGAGGCTCTCGAAAAAATCCGGGGCAAGCAAAAACAGAGCCGACTAATACGTCCTCACAAAAAACAGAGCCGACTAATACGTCCGACTAATACGTCCTCACAAAATATGTCACACCTCCTGGCGGCTCCTTGGGATGCCTAGATTCTGCGCTTGCGACGCGGTGGTCATGAAGCTTTAAACAGAGAGGATTCTGCGGGTGGGGACGGCGAACCGCTTGAGACGTCCCGACAGTCTGCGCGCGAACGGCAAGTGTCATACTACTTGGCGGTTTCGCCCAGGTGCCCCCTAATGGTACGCCTGCCGATCGTGGTGAACATGAGGGCGCCAAAATAATGGAAAATGGGGAGGACAGCAACAGCGAAGCCGCCTGATACATCCCCGAATCGGACCGCGATCGAGCATCTGATCTGGGTACCACTGGGCCTTAGTATGAGTGAGTCTGAGTATGACCAAGCTGAGTCTGAGTGCACATGAATGTGAGTGGCCTGTGTGTTTGTGGGGGAGCCTGTGTGTGAGTGAGTCTGA